TTATGAAAAAGGTCTGAGAGGCCTTCCCATTTGCCTTGGAGGATTACAATGAAGAGATAGTAATGTCGGAAGCTATGTCTACGGCAGCTATACACATGATCCTCACCTGACACCAGGTATGTCTGTGCCTTAATCCTGGACAGCCAACTTGCAGAACTCTGAGAGATAGACTTCTGTGGCTTTCAAGCTTCTCCTATTGTGCTTTGTTATTGTATCGTGATAGGCCAAAACCAATATGACTGTTTAGTGGGCATTATGAGAGTTGAGTGGGATGAGGGTGGTGAGATAATGTTTTACCAAGAAGAAATACATGCACTGGGTCAGAACCAAGCTGTTGTACTTCTCCCAGAATGCACCTCACAGTTTTGTTGTTGCAGATGGGAGTTTCTGCAGTTAATGCAGATGGCATCTCTAGGTCCTTAGGAGGTCTCCCAAGCCTAGGGCAGTTATTTGGCCTTTACCCTACAGGAAGTGGAGGAAAATAACCTTACAGGAGGGCTTCAAGTCATGCAGCAATTGGCCAACTGTGTGCATTAGAATGATGTCTCAGCTGCACCCTGACATCTATGACGTCATCACCACCGAGCCTGATCTCTGCCTCCTAATGGAACCTCCTAAGGAAGGAGCCAGAAAGAGATACCTGATGCACACCACTGGGCAGGATTCCTATGACACATACACCACTGATAAAGAGAAAATCTGAAAGCCTCTGTCCAGACAGGAAAAAATAAGACAAAATAAAACCTCACAAGAAAATCAGCAAAACAGCCCACATTAAATTATGTGCTTTCCAAACTAGAAGTTAGAAAAGACACAATTACATTTATAGGCTGTTCAGAGAAATACTATGTCGCTCAAGATCTTCCCATCATGCTATTTCATCTCAGTTCTTACAGTAAGAGAGGACTATCGGATATTATTCATCACCTCAATGATTCACTCTCGTGACCTCCTTTGAGAAAATACATAAAACATCTAACTAAAAACCAACTGAATCTGAAAGAGATTTCAAGATAAGAGTGAAGAGTAATAATAAAAATAAATATTTTTTAACCTAAATAGATAATGATGAAATGACTGAGAACTTCATCAAATTCTCTAAATAAGAATCCAGAGAGAGTCATTCTGCAAGGAAAAACTCAATGCTAGGGAAATAATGAACAAGAGAAACGTATTATGAGGTGCTCACTACAGGTTCCATGGTGGACAGAGTCAGGAATGGGAAGGATCTGGCTTTCATAGTACAGTGGGAAAATAACTAGCCCAAAATAAGTCAAGAGTGAGTCCTAGGAACCATCCTGCCTCTGCCTCTCCAGAAGTGGCATTAGGTGTGTGCCATTCCAGTTATCCTCCACATGGTGCCAGGGCTTGAACTTGCATCATTGTGCTTGTACAATAAGCACTCTACATTTGAGCAGCCCTCAAGCCTTTAGAGAGAGATGATTAGCAATTAGCATAGTTTATCCAACACTAATGAAAGAATACATCTTAACCACAGACAATTACTAAATTCTAATTTTCACTGGATCACATTCTGTCTACTGCATTCAGTTTGGAAGAACCCTCCATCCTCCTACTGCCAGTGTAGGGCAGACATGAAGGTAAGAGCTTTGGAACTCAGCTAAATAAAGGAAAAGTTGAAACTTGGGGACGTTTAATGCAAAGAGGAAGAATCTACAAGGAGATAGAGCATGTGTCTCCGAGCATTTTAAAGTCTGTGCTACAGAAGGTAAGCCAAAGGAGTGGACAGAGCACCAACTATAGAACCCAGGTTTAGTTCAACATGGCTGAAATGTTCTCACAATTGAGAGAGTGAATTTGAGTCAGGAGAAGAAATGTCTGTGGTGGCAATGCAGAAGGGGTTCTCCCCCATGGGAGAATTTATGTGAAAGAACTGTTAAAAATCACTTCCAACTCTGTTTTTGTGAATTTCTAGCTTTCCCATCCCCATAAAACAGGCACAATCAGCATTTAAAATGATTAAAATGAGTTCATTATATAACCCTCCCTCCCCCTCTCTCATTTCATTTGGGGCCAAAATAGTAGCTGACCATTACGGACACTGAATTTTAAAAGCACAGCATACATTTATTGTCTAGTTGTCTGGATGATTTATAATTGGGGACATTTTGGTCAATGGGAGCCAGTCAAGGGCAGTCATTCATAAGGGAACACGAGAAATCATCATCATCATCTTCTTCAGAATGAATCTATTAGAACAACCAGGCAAACTTTTCATGTGAGGCCTTGGAAATGTAAAAAGAAGGTAATAGAAAAGCATCAGCTGAAACCATCTAAAACTTAGACACTGATGATGGAGCCACAACCAGACAGATTGGGGCTTGAATACTGGCTTAACCTCTGACAAACAGGGGAAGGGGTCAAGTTGGCTGACCTTTTTCATATCTACTAGTGTGTAGAAAGGAGCATGTGGATAGCACCTACTTTCATAGGGCTGTTGGGGGACCCATGAGAGACTGTGTACCACAAAACCGATCAGTTTTTCAGGATTGGGGTACACAGCCTTCACTCTTTGTGTGCATGAGTGGCAAGAGAAAAGTTGGAAAGGACAAGAGGATGGAAGAGATGCAGCTCTCTGTTACCAGAATGAGCCAGACTGCATTTCTTTTTTACAGAAGCTTTGAAACAGAATGCAGACTCACTGCTGAGTGTGCCTGGAAGGTATGTGAAATCCCACAGAATAGACAAACAGTATGCTTAGCACAGAGTAATGTAAACATGGCAAAGTCGTGTGTGTGCAAGGAGATATTTCAGTTCAGCAGAAGATGGTATTAAAATAAAACAAACCCAGGAACTGCTGACATTCTAGTTCCCATGTTTGAGCAAGTAAGAAACAATGCAAAGATGAAGAAGGAATTAAACATTTTTTCAAATACTCCTCAAAGTGAACTAGTAATGATATTTGGAATTTACTAAGGAACCATAAAGCTGGGCCAGCAAGATGGCTCAGTGTGTAACTGCATTTACCACTGAACCTCCTGAACTGAGTTTGATTCCCAGGACCCATATGGTAGAACTGACTCCTGACTCTTACAAATTATCCTCTGGCCTGCACACACAGACAAACACACACACACACACACACACACACACACACACACACACACACACACACAGTAAATAAATGTAATAAGACCTTTAAAAAAAGAAATAATAAAATAAGAAATATTTGAGGGCTCAATACATTCCTATAGAACACAAGTTGGTGTGTGTAATCAGGACATTTGCTAGAATTAACCCACTATAAGATAGTAGAGAAGACTACTTGCTTTTAACTCAGAGAGCACAGATATACCCCACCTATATGTAGAGAAAATGATCCCTTTACAAGAGCTGGAGCTATTTTTCTCAAATAATCGCATAAAATTGTTTTCCAAAGTCAAGAAAATTATTATCTGTAGCTGGTTTGTGCTGATCAGTATCTCCACTTGCAGGAGTTATTTCTCTCCTTTCTGTAGGTCCCAGGGATTGACCCATCAGCATGGGCAGCAAGTGCTCTTACCCTTTGATCTGTCTTGTTGCCTTCCTGATGACCCTTTTAAAATGATTTCACTGAGCACTGCAAACACTATACTGAAAAGTGGCTATCTTAAAGCAATGACAACAATAAAAACCAACAAAACAAAGAAAACCTAATCCTTGTTCTATTCCACTATCAGAGGACAGTATTCTATACTACAGATAAGAAAGGATTTTGAGGGTTTTTTTTTAACCACAAAGAAATGATAAATAGGTAGATGACGAGACAGGCAAATCTGCATCATTTGAACATAATGCAGGAATTAAACTATGACACAATACTCCTCAAATATGTCCAATTTTATGTGTCAATTTTTAAAAATGTAAGAGGAATCTCAAATCCTAGATTGCACACCACACCAAATATTCCAGAATGTATATGTGGGTAACCCAGGCAGCTTCACTTTTAATGTTTTCCAGCTGATGTCATTGTGTAGAATGGATGAAGAATCACTCTGAGCCAGGGCAACATCTACAATTCCAAAAGAGTCGATGCCAGAAAGCTTAAGGCTAGCCTGAGCTACTTAAAGAGATCGTGTCTAAGAACATCCAGTATTTAGGACACAGCTCAGACATAAAATGGTTGTCTGTCATTAGGTTGGATGTGGATTTGTTCCCCATCACCACCAAAAAACCCACTATGTTTGAGCGCCTTTTAAGAAGGAAAGGACATTTCTAATTCTTCAGGCAACAACAATGGCACAAATTGGTCTTGAAGGTTTGATTTTTAAAGGACACAAAGTTGGGTGGGTAGGGGATGGACATGGGTCTGGGAAGGTGAATTGAATGAATATGATCAAAATACATTGTATGAGAGTCTCAAAGAACTACTACTAAATAAATACAACAAGACAACGAGATTCCAATGACATACTAAGAACTTTCTCTTTGTTGCTAGTAGAATGATTAATTTTAGAATAAAAACAAAATATGCTGAAAAGTAGGTTTATAGATGCTTTATTTCCTTTTCATTTTCTTCCCTTGGTCCACATGGCAAGAGGTTCTATAATTAATATAGAATTTGTATATAAAAATTCAAGAACTAAAAGAAGACTAAGAAAAAAAAGTACATCTATTCTCAAAAAAAGGAAGACTTGTTAAAATGCAGCTCAATATAGAAAAAAATAGTATTTGTTTCTATCCAAAAATAATTATGTAATACAAAATTGTCACTGTGGAATCAGAAGTATTCGTTTAAAACTTGGCTGATTTTGCAAACATATGAGGCATATCATCTTAGGGAAGGAGATAGCATTTGTTCCATTCACTAAGAGTCACGTTCTCTGTGTTCTACTTAGAAGCTTCAAGCCAGAGGAGGGGATGAGTCCGGCTCCAGAGCGGGGGTGTTCATGATGTTCAGTACATTCTGTTCTGGATATGGGTCAGTGTAATGTAAATATACATGCACGAGTCAACTCACAGACACCAAAGATTTCAGAGGCACAAACGGAATTACTTACTTGTTATGTTTTCTTTTTTATAATCTGAGGGGGAAAGGATAAAAATTGGTTTTAAGTAAGCGTTATCTCCTAGATCCTCGAGCTACCGCTAAGAAATGCGACTTTCCCTGCCAGCATTTAAACAAGTGACAGAAAAGCATTCAAACGTCAAGAGCGCGTCTTTGAAATTAAGTCAGCTGTTAGGGTAACATCGTCCTTACAAATGAAATTCATACGGCGCCATGCAGTGGCTCGGTTTTGTTCTGTGAGGTCAGCGTTTTCAAACATGTGGCTTGTTTTCTGCATGCTTAAAAAAATCTGCATCGTTGGCTAAGAAAGAGGATTATTTATTCTTTTACGCCATTCCCCTGACAAACTATGAGATGTTTCTTAGCCATTTTCCCATACATTCCAGAATATGTTACATTCAAAGGATCCCCTGTGAAATCAAGCATGACCCAAGCAGCAGTTAAAAATGCCCTTTGACTTATTTGAAAACAAATGAAATGAATCTTTATGCTAACCTATGTAATTAGGGTAGCATTAGGATTCTGCTATTGTGTGGATATGGCAAAGCGAAAAACATTAGAACAGCCTAGAAAGCCTAAAAATGTTAGAAGCTTTTAAGTACACACCTTACTTGACTCAAAACACTAAATTTTTCTTAACTTCCGAAATCTGGAAGGAATTCTTTGTTACCTAAATATGGCAGTCTTGTGCAGGCCATCGGATCCCGGTGCATGCTGGGAAGCTTGCTGCAGTCCGGCACCGGGACGAGATGCATCCCTGAGCTGTAGAGTCCTCTGTGGGTCTTTCCTTCCATAGCCAGCCATTCCTTTGCACAGAACAGCTCCTTTACTGCCAAGCAGTATTCTCTGAAATGTTGAAAGGCGAGCAAGACTTGATGAATTATAACTAGTTAAAGACAAGTTTGAGATGAGGCTAAAATTTCGTATTTCTGAAATATTGTCACATCGTAGTGTCTTTGTTTACAAAAGCATTTTTGAAATGATTCTTTTTTGCTTAAATAATGCAAGACATTATAAGATATAGTGTACTGTACTGTGAGATGAATTACTCTTTTAATTTTTTTAATTTAGAAAGAATTAGGTAAGTGTCCCTGATATATTGTGTCTTGAAGTTCATAATAAAAGTACAGGAGCTGGAGAGATGATAGCTCAGAGGTGAAGAGCACTTGTTACCACTGCAGAAGACCCAGGTTCAGTTCCCAGCAGTCACATGCTGGCTCACAGTCATCTGTAACTGTAGTTTCAGGGGATCCAATAGGCACTTACATGGTGCACATACACGCATGCAGAAAAAAAATGTTCATACAGACAAATAAAATCAATAAACCTTTAAAAATTAAAAACAAAGCTGCCGAAACAAGGTAGATCGCTTAAAGAACATATGAATGAAGGGACATGGACCATCGCCTCAGACCTGATGGGCAGGGCGTAATGAAGGGCACACGATGAATTTGTGCTTGCTCTTATCCTGGAATACAGCAGCAGCTCCAGTCACAGTTTACAGGAGTTTACAGGAGTGCTCTGGGTTCATTGGCTAGCGCTTCCCCTGGAGAATCAGAGTTCTGCTGGAGGGTGTAAGTGCTTCCACCTGAGATGCCAGGTGAATGAGTGTGTTGCTGTTAAGTTTGGACAGGTTGTGTAATTAGTGGAAGAGCTGAAGAAAGACTAGTTGAGGAATTGGAATTTGGAAGTTAACATTTGTTAGGGCTTACTTGGACAAATTGCATCAAGACAAACCTGGGTAATTCCAAATTAAGATTGTTGGAGCTGATAATAAGAGGAGAAAACCATTTAAGAGGGAGGATAATTAAAATACATAAGGGCTTGGCTGCAGCCCAAGCTTGTATAGCAAGCACACATGCACATGCGTGCACATGAGCTCGCACAAGTGCACATGAATGTGCGCACACGTACAGACAGAATACAACAGGTGGCCGGTGGCCTATGTCTCTATAAAGTAGGGAATTTTGTTTGTGTGTGTGCATTTGCACACATATAACACAGGGCTCTTTTTGTGGTGTGCAAGACACTTTTTGGCTAAGCCAGACTCTAATATTTTCTTTACATCCTGAGTATTTGTATTATTTATTGCCATCAATGGTTTAAATGGGAAGAATTTCATCCTTTTGTTTTTTTGGGTCTTTTGTTTTGTTTTTTGAGACAAGGTTTCTCTGTATTGTTTTGGAGCCTGTCCTGGTACTAGCTCTGCAGACCAGGCTGGCCTTGAACTCACAGAGATCTGAGATCTGCCTGCCTCTGCCTCCCTAGTGCTGGGACTAAAGGTGTGCTCTCCGAAGGACAGGCTGAATTTTGTCCTTTTAATTACTGTTCAAGACAATGTCTTTTTTTTTTTTAACTCTTGCATACAAAGAATGAAATTTTTCTTACTCAATTTCAAGGTTTTACCTGCAAATGGGCATGGGAGTAGGTACCATTCCAGGGCTGCACTCTCTGAAGAGGTGGTTACACATCAGGGCCTCAGCAGCTGGCCGGCAGAGAGGGCTCACAGCCTTCAGTTCATTCCACGCTGTGTGGATCAGCAGCTCTTGGGCCTCCTCAGGGTCCGAATAGGAGGTGTTGAAAAAGACAAGAGCATCTTTTGCCAGTACTGTATCACACACCTCCCCTCTGTACTGGGCGCAGTAGCCTTTGCTGTCTTTCTGTGATTTACTGCAAGAATCCATGAACAGTGTAACCAGTCATATGCAATTTCTTGGCATCCATCCTGCCTCTGCCACCACTCACATCTGCATCCCAGAAATAGGGAGAGACTGTCCTGGCAAATGTGTTGAAATGTTTCAAAAGAATATTCTCCCCGTTTCCAGCAGCAATGGTGTCATTTCTACATACCTCGGGCTGTGGAAAGCTTTGGAAATGGTCAAGAGCTGACCATTTATGTTTATGTTACACACAGAATGATGTTCTTACTACAGTCAGCTACCATACTTCTTGCACATAAACTGATATAATCCCCCCAAAAAACAAAAACGACAATAAATAAAACCATTCATTGTGATGGATAACACATGAGAGAATATATCAATCACCCCCATGGAGAAAGTTAGCAGCTTTAAGAACAATCAATGTTACCGAAACAAGTACCTGAATTGTTTAGTACAATCCCATCTTGGCTATGTCACTTGTTTACTTGAACAATAATAACTCATAGACTGACAGTTATTGAATATTCATCGGGTGTAGGCACCATCCTGGCCTTCTGTATTCTTATGGTTCCCATAAGATCTCTCTCAATCACTAACAGGATGGAAAACTTCAATCACATATCTCATTTAAATGTATACTATACTATTAAGACTTAGCTTTTCATTACCATTCTATAAAAGATTTAGAGTGAGGTAATTCATCACACTGAAATTTGTGAACTTTTGAATGACTAGGGAACACTATTTGAATTTGAAAAATCGGCACTTTATAAATGAACACTTTCAGCTCTTTGAAACAAACACATTAGGACAATACACAATGAATCCAAATAAAATCATGTTCCATAGGATAGTTTCAGTTTGAATTGGTCATTTGTTAATTAGCCAGCAGGATCACTAATGTACCATTTAATTCATAGGGGATATTTAAAATCAAAAGCCCTGAATAAGAAAATAAGCCACTTAGGGAATGCAATCTGCGATGGCACAAAATAAAATTTAAAAAAGACTAATAACTAATAACCAATAATGAGAAGTAGCTCATCCTGGTTTCACATCCTGGACTCACATATTATTACATCTTAGTAAAACAAGAGAATGAATAAGAGCAAAAAAAACAAAACAAAACAAAAAACAAATAAACAAAACCCTCTAATAGTTAAATAATTCTGTCTTTGACCTCAGGGCTACTCTTCCAGGTTCTAATATTAAGTGTTAACTACTTAGTGAGGCTATGTTTTGTTTTTCCATGAACGCAGAAATATAACACACATTGGTGATTTTCCTTTAATTGAATGTTTGGAGAAGAAAAAGAGACTACAGAAAACTAGTAAAAATGGATTCAGAAATGAGGAATTAGTAATCAAAGAATAAAAGAGCAAACGAAGGGAGTCAAAAAGGTTTGGGAAGCTTTAGGTAGCACACATATGTTTTTATTAAGTCTATAACTGAAGCATATGAATATTTATTACTTATATATATGCATTATTAATGTATATCTAGATATCAACTCTCTACCTGTGAACTGCCTAGTCATAGTTTGTCACTTTAACTTTTTTCCTTCTTTTTGGAAGATATTTACAAAACTCAAATTTTATACAGCTATCCAATTTTAGGTATCAGATATGGATGCAAATTGAATTATTTAGTCCATAGCCTTTCTAAAACTACCATTAAGTAATAATAAGAAGAACCCTGAATGGTATGCACAGAAAGAACTTGGGGTTGAGCTGAGTAGAAAGTCCCCCAGCCCATGTTTTCTGGGGGCTTTTACACTGCCCATCTGAAGCTGTATGACTAACTTGGTTCCTGATACTGCTAGGGCAGTCTTACAGGCGGCTGATTCTGTTCTTTTGAACACTGGGGCAGACATTGCAGAGCTTCCTTTACAGAATGCTGACAATTCTGCACTGTAGACCATCTCTTAAACATACAAATTAATGTTGCACATGGCAGCCACTCCTGTATTATCTCCTGATAACCCAAACCTGGCTGCGCACCTTCTGGAGTGGCAAGAACGGGTATTAGATCCCATTCATCCTCTCTTAGAAGGATGGCCCTGAAGTCAAATGGAGCATTCATGAGATTCTTCCTTCCTTTTCTCTTTACTAAAACAAATCTGAATATATTTTGAAATACTACCTTCCCATTTCTATGAAGGAGGCACCATCTTTTCCCTTTGAACTCTGTCCAAAGGCATATGCAGAGGGCCAGCTATGTCCTGTTTGGTTTATGATATCCCCTACTGTAGTGGAGGTACACTCGATAGCTCTCCCTCTCCTCGGATCTTCCCTTACATAGCAACTGCTGTATTTCCTCTACAAAGGTGACGGCCAAAGTTCTGAGCCAGTCTCTGTCATCAAAGCAGCTGTCTGTTGGCTGTACGGGATTCATTGGCAGAGGCCAGCAAATACAACTCAAGACCTGTCAGACTCAATTCTTAAAATATATACCCAGATTTTAAAAGGGCCTAATGATTTTTGATAATATTTTAAAACCTTGGAATGTGGTCAATTATGGCTACTCATAGTTATATAACTCAAAGCCAATTTAAATATTCACATATATGTACCATGAGGGACACTGTTTTTTTCAAAGTGCCACATAAGTTACATTTTTTTCAGTCTTTTTAAGAAAAATTTTCTTTTTAATTAACAATTGACAGAAGTTTTGTACAGCATGTATGAAATGATGCTTTGAAATTTGCATATATCACAGAATGGCTAAGTTGAATTAAAAAGATATATGTATTATCTCAGATGCATATTACCATTTGTGGTGAGAACAGTTAAATTTTATTTTTGTGATTTTTTTTTAAAAGAATGCTATACATCATTCTTTCACACCAGTCAACATGGCCTATGAAAGTTCTCTTTAACCTGTGTGTGACTGAATTCAAATCCTTAATATTTTAAAGCTTATGCTTTTGTTTTACAGACTTTTTATTTTCTCCTGAGAGCTAAGGATGGTATCTATATTTTAAGTTGTTGTAAAAACTTAAAAGAAGACTATTTAATGATGCATGAAAACTGCATGAGTGTCAAATGTATGTCCACAAATGAGGTTTTATTTTAAAAGAATCAATTATGTCTGTTTATATACTTTTCATGGCTGTTTTGGGGTAAGCCAGCAGACTGAGCAGTTTTAATCATGTCTGTATGGCTCACTGAGTGAATATATTAATATCTGACCCTTTATAGAAAATGTTAGCCAACCTCCGCTGTAGCATACTGATCAAATGTCACTTTGCTGAACTGCCAAGCACAATGTCCTCAGTGAGGAGGACATGACCTCTCGTGCTTCCTGTGAGAAAAAACTAAGAGCTATTTTCTATACAAAATGTATGAGAGTACAAAGAAGAAACACTTCTTATTTTAAAAAAAATTGAGAGAATTGATTTCGTCTTTTCCAGAAGCTAAGACAGAGAAAGAACGTGAGGTTGGGTGGGTAAGGAGGGATAAGATCTAAGAGGAGTTGGGAAACAGGGAACGAATATAATAAAAAATATACCATATGACATTCTCAAAGAAAAAATAAATATACTTACAACTAAAAATGAATTATATTAGTCCTATAGACAGATATTTTATATATTACATATTTGTGCAAAATAGATTATGTTCTTTATATATAGAACTATCAAAATTGAACTATAAATATATCTTTTCATCTTGCAGTTTTGTCTCATAGCATACTATAAACCTCTGTATGTACCTTACAAAACAGAGCTTCTAATCAATGTCCTTTATCAGTAGCTACATACAATGTTTTTATGTTATATCTGTGAGTGTAAGCAATTGTGACTAGTGTTCATTAGTCTTATTATTTCCTTAAAATAGATTTCTAAAAGTGGATTTTTTTATCTATAGATACAATCACCTTAATAAAAATTTCAAAGTTGAAAACTATAAAACCAGTGATTTTTTTTTCTCAGTATCAGCAGAGTTTGAGAGTATTACATTATCCCAAGAAAAAAGTGGATAGGCTGGTTCTCTTTATTTTTTGAGACAAGGTCTCACTTTGTTGCCTATACAAGCCTCAAAACTTCACAATCTTCAGTCTCAGCCTTCTGAGGTTTGGCATGACCTGCATTTTTACCACATCCAGTTAGAAATTATTCTTTGACTAGCATTGGAGCATCTACTAATATGCTTAAACTTCTTTATTTGAATTCACTTGCATGGAGATGATCTGTGTCTATTCTTTAAATTTATGATTCCAGTATTACACTCTTACAATTAATCTTCATGTGCAAGAAAATATAAATCCTCCATGGACATGGGACAGTAAAACTGGTTTTGTGCCTCCATTTCTAATATATTTCCAGGAACAGAGTACTTGCTTTTAAAAGTGGCACCAAGAGCAGTTATGCTAACAGTCTGGGAACAAAAGGTGACATGTGTGTCTTCATCATCAAATGGCTTGTAGTTCAACTCATACCATACTTACATCATATGGCCCTTCAGTGGTTGCTGCAATTCACTGTCAAGTTCTGAAGAGGCAGTACACTGCTTCTAAGAACTGTGAGTAGCACTTAATAAGTAGCAGTGTACCTCACAATAGAATGTCACAGCTATATATCCAGAGATGAGATTTAGAAGGAACCAGGCTTTATTGTGTATTGAGTTATTTTACTCCATGGAACTGAAATCAGTGTCTAGAGTTTTATATTCTTCTCAGTTTCTGGTCTTCTTGGTAAGGCACTGACCAGTGGTTGTGACAGTCTGTGTTCTGGAGTCTGTCTGCACAATTGTCAATGGAGGCCTAGCACTCTGTGATCTGTGTAGCTTGGCAACCCTTGCTGCATCCGGTTCCTTGTATGGAAAAGTATAAACAAAAACACCTCTCCCTAAAGTCTCTGCAATGTTGAAATTAGAACACTAACTGCAGTGGTCAGTATTGGTATTACGGATTAATCCTTCGTACTTATGCCACATCATGAAATTTTTAAAGCTTTTTTTTTTTCTTTTTTCTTTTTTGGTTTTCTGAGACAGGGTTTCATTAAGCCAAGGCTGGTTTTTGAACTCTGCTCCTCTGCTTTAGCATTCTGTGTCTGGCAAGTAGACACCACCATACCTAGTGAATTGTTTGATTTTTCTTTTTTTCATTTGCTTGAGATAAAGGGTCATGTAGTACAGACTGGCCTCAGATTTGCTATGTAGCCCAGGCTAGCCTCAAATACACTATGTCTGGTCTTAAACGTCTGATCCTTCTGACACAGCTGTTGGAGTGCTGGGATTAGAGCAATGAACTTCTATGCCAGGTTACCACGTAGAGTTTTATGAAAGTCAATTTAATATAAAACACTATAGATAAAAGCTTCTGTATGATTTTTTTTTATCTCTTGGAAAAATACAAGGAGAGTTTGGGGTCAGTCTTGAGTTGTGTTTTGAACTGCCTTATTTCTACCTGAGTTTCCAGTCAGTCTTGAGTTATGTTTTGAACTGCCTTATTTCTACCTGAGATTCCAGTGCAAAGACTTTCTCAGTTTCCCTTCTGGAAATACAGACAATCATGGTATGTGACAGGGATGTCTTGAGGATACAAATAACTTATGTAGAACACCTGACACACATAAATATTCAGTAGACATTACTACTGTTCTCTTCATTTTCTTTTTCTTACAAAAATATTAAACAGCGTTAGACATTAGAAATGTTCAAAAAGTTTACAGTGCTTAGTAGACAAAGCATTGGTGTGTCTAATAAACACTACAAGTGACATGAAACATTGGAATAATAATGGATTCTTACCTCCACTCTGGTAACAGGAAAGAAGTGTCCATAGGAAACCACAGACAAAGAAAAAGAACAGAAGAAAGTCAGCATATGCTCATCTTAAAGTTTAATCACTAAAACTAAAGCTTCTGAGACATTCTCTGCTTCTTCTGGGAAGTTAGAGACTACACTAACAGGTGGACTTCGGGGAGATTGAGACAGTCCTGTTCCCAGGAGCTGTAATTTTTCCAGATGGTGGCTGCCATGAGCACTGCCAGTCACACATGAAAGAAAATTTTGCAGTTGATAAGGTAGATAGGCAGATAGTAAAATAGAAGAGATAGGTAGATAGATAGATGATAGATAGATAGAAATGAATGATAGATGGTAGATATTAATAGGTATTACTGGCACTGGGATATGGTTTCTAATCATTAGTTGTATTGTTATTCGTCCGTTAAACTTCAGCAGGCAGCATGGAGAGGACTGAGCATCTGTTCAGGAAAGCCTTTTGCTCTTTCCTCTAGAAGGCCTCTTCTCCTTTGATATAATGGAGCTAGCACAGAGGAAGAAGAGGAGTTAGTTTTACAACAGCAGCAGGCCATATTTCATCTGTTCCCCAAGTTCCTGAATGAATGGTTGTTTATTAATGGGTGGGATGAAGCAGAAGAATTTCAAAGAGGGTAATAAGGCTGGAGGTTAAACTAGAGTAGGTGTTGTATTCCACTCTTAAACATCACCCAAGAGTTATAGAATCTGCTTCAAAGCTTGGAATGAATTGTATTTCCTAAGGGAAAAGAAGATTTTAGAAAGCATCAATACTTGGTCCCCAGTGACTGGAGAAAAGCAACACAGTTTTCTCTGTGTGCATGGCATGTCTAGATTTTAATACACTGGTTGCACATTTCAGTAGGCTGTTTACACATGTCATCTTGGCACCTTGCTGTTTCATCTTTAATTTATGAGCCAGTCAATCTGTTGTAAAATTCACAATAAACTCTCTCTCTCTCTCTCTCTCTCACACACACACACACAGAGCTCTCTCTCTCTCTCTCTCTCTCTCACACACACACACACACACAGAGAGAGAGAGAGAGAGAGAGAGAGAGAGAGAGAGAGAGATCTCCAAACTCCTCTCCTTCTCAATGGATTGCTAACCTGAGAGATAGAAGTCTACATCCCTCTCATGCTAAGGGGAGCTGTATTCCTTCAGGACACATCCCGAACTACATTCAGTAATGGGAACTGACAGGCTCCCAAGTGATCATGAAAGAAGTGTTAAGGGCTGTGTAAGATTTGTGAAACCCATCCCACCAGGGGAGTCACTGGATAATTACTGCAGAAATATCTCTGACTTAATTTATATTCTGAAAAATAGAATCTACTAAGTATTTTATCAAGTTAGGCAGGACAGGCTGATGGATTCTCATTTTTATTTAAGAGATGCTTCTGTCTCAGGGGATGGCTCAGCTGAGCAAAGGTGGAGGGGGTTTGGAGCCCTAGACATCAACAAAAATGCCCATTGGGTATGGTGGCTTCCTGTGATCCCAGTCTCAGAAGGCAGAGACAAGGGATCCTCAAAGCAAGTTGGCTAGCAAGACTGGCTAAATTGGTGTATTCTGGGTTTGATTGAGAGACCCTGCTTCAATGCATACAATGGAGGTACAATGAGGGTAGATTCTAACATCAACTTCAAGTCACCATTTTTGCACCCACACACATGCAGGAAAATAATACATGATACATGGAAAAGGGAATTTAAAAAGAGGGAGAGAGATGTTGCTAATCCTTTCCACAAGTTTTGACCTAAGAACTGGGATTTAGACTTGGATTCATTAATGAAAGAAAATCACATATGGGTCTCACTTCTCCACTATCCAGGCAGAAGCACATGGAAGGGGACAATAGGAAATCGCTCTGATGAGGAAGAAGAGAGGCAGATCCTAAGAGCAGCTGAGCGGGGAGACACTGGCCCGTGAGGGAGCTGAGGCCATGTATACAAGATGCCTTCTTCTAAATTTCTCTGGGATCTTCCTGGCTTGAGCAAATGCCAAAGAGGACTGAGCATCTGAGAGGAGAGAAGCCACTTCCAAGTGGAGGACAAGTGAGCAAAGAGAAGCGATGACAATTCAAGGGTGACTATAAGAGAGTTGAGGGCCCTGAGGGGCTCACTGAGTGACCATGTGTTTCTGGCCTAAAGGTACAGAAGTGCCTCTTCACATCTCCCTCTCTTCATCCCTCTCCTTCTCTCCTTCCTCTTCCTGCTCCCTCCTCTCTCACTCTCCCCTCTTTAGTTTTTTCTGTTCTTTTCTGTTCTGAATGATTAAGGAACCAGGGATGGAGTCCATAAATCTTATACTTCATAATACTTATACTTCATAATAAATTACTTTATTTCCCCCAACTAGATGTGTTTTCAATTTCTGAACTTTCCAATTTTTTTTAAAATTATATGAAAAAAAATCAGTAAAATATTGGTCTGCTTCTGAAACATACATCATTTGTAATGCCAGGAAGCTTCCTGACAGTGCCTTGTATGTCCCACTGCAGAACACTGCTAACAATTGAATAACAATCGAGTGTGGCTACCAGCTGAAGCTCATTTATCCTTTCCCCTTTTGGTAAGAGCAAATACAATGATGGGGAATGTTCTTCTGTCTTATTGGGTGAGTAGCCAGGCAGGAAGTGACGAAGCATGGCAGATACTGCCATTAGCTAACCATAGAGGTCTGGAGGTCTGTACAGACAAGCAGGAAGTGATGTAGCTGGACAGAATCTGAACATAAGCAGGGACAAACAGGAACCCGCTCTCTTCTCTGCAGAGATGTAGCAGGCAAAAGTGATACAGGGCCGGAATTCCCAGTAAGCCAAGACCACATGGAAATACTTAAATTGATAGAAATGAGTTAATATTTAAGACAGAACTAGCCAATAAAAATGCTAGTAATTGGCCAACAGCTTTATAACTAATAGAACCTCTGTGTGTTATTTGGGGCTGACACAGCTGAGGGACCAGGCTGGCGGGAAACAGCTTGTAACAATACAAGGCACTTTTTGTCACTATAAAATCCTCATAATGTTACAACAAAATGCCAGGGCACATTGTAGAGAAAGATACTCTCTACTTGTTTTTTTATGAAGCATGGAATGGTAAAAGGAGGAAGAGGTAACCACAGGCTCATCCCAGTGTTCTGAGAATAAGTGTGCTCAGAACTTTGGAACTCACTGTTTGATATAAAAGACCATCTTGGTCAGCTTTAACTATCAACTTGACAAGCCTAGACTAATCTGAGAGGAAAACCCTGGTAGTGGACTTGCCTAGAGCAGACTGGGCTGTGGGAGATGTCTTATTGTTAATTTACATAGGAGGGACCAGTCCACTGTAGGCAGCACCAACCCTAGAGCAGACTGGGCTATGGGAGATTGTCTTATTGTTAATTTATATAAGAGGGACAAGCCCACTGTAGGCAGCATCATTCCTAGGTAGATGTTCCTGGGCTGTATAAAAAAGCCAACTGAGTATATGCTGGCTAAAGACCCAGCTAGAAAGCATTATCCTTCATGGCCTCTGCTATCCTTCCTGGCCATGAAGTAAGTTCCTGGTCAGAGATAATGTTGTGTAGAAAAGCAGGCAGGCTTGTCTTTAAACTCTTGCCTTGACTTCCATCAGTATCAGAGGGAATAACTTTATCTCTCCTACATTGTTTTTGCCAGGGTATTTGTCACATGAATAGAAATGTAACTAGAACAAGGACTTACTAATGACACTGAAAATGGGAAATACAGCTGTGTGCCACTGTAATTATTCTGATGGTCTCTGGCTGATCCAGGACAGTGCTCATTCAAGGGATCATGGATGTCTTATTGTCCATCACAGTGTTGAGGGTCCTGATAACAAAGGGATGGAGAGATGCTGCTGCGCTGTAAGATATGTGCCAGTTGTGCTCAGCGGTCTTTATGGTTTCTGCAAGATCGTGACATGAGATGAATGTGCTTTGTGTGTGTGGGGAGGGGGGGTAGAAATAGTTGTCTTCCTAGGTTCTTTCCCTGTTGCTGACAGTGCTGTCTCTACAGCCATCTTGGTATCTATGATGGACGGGCTCTAAAGATTAAAGATTACCACATTGGGGGCGGGGAGTTCCCCCAGCTGGTCTGCTGTGGACAAGAGGGAGGTAAAGAAGTGAAGAATATGAATGTAAGGTTCTGTAGACTGTAGACCCTAATTTCTATATACCAGACAAAACAGTCATTAAGATAAATGCTGACAGGGAGAGGAGAGGGGAGGGGGAAAGGAAGAGAGGGAGGAAGGAGAGAGAGGGAGAGAGAGAGAGAGAGATTTGAGATTTTCAACTTCTCATTTGGAATTCTAAAAGCAAAGCACAGTACAAGGGTCTCCTGCTCATACCCTGACATGGGGTGACAGCACTACAGTGGGTAGAATAGCATGAATTGGGTGCACGGGCAGCAGACTGGATGACAAAGTCTAAATTGTGCTTTGATTTTGTACACCTTGCAGGAGATGCAGAAGTGGTTTCAGTCCATGGAGGACACAGGCAGATGAGTAGAGTCAGCTGGTCTGCCTTTGTTTCTCAGTGGAGATACACAGGGTGACTTCACTGTTAAGGATACAGAGCAGACTCTATGTAGGGACTTGATGATGGATTCGGCTTAGCTGTGACTCTAGAAGGAATCCAAAGGCAGCAAATCTAGGGAGGCCATTTGGGTTCTAACCCAGATAACAGATGGAATCATAAATTCTCCAGCTCCAGACTTCTCTAGATCCAAGGGATTGGAGGACACCACTGAAGTATAAATCCGTTTCCCTTTTGCCATCTAGGGGAGAGATGGAAAAAGGAAGAAGGGAGAACTCTTGCAAGGAATTATCACTAAGAAGCCAAGAACTTGCAGAAATGAGACTCTCTGAATCGTGGCTACACTGACATTTGTCTTATGTTTTAGTAGAGGAACAAGCTAAACTAAGTCATGTCAGTTTATATGCCTGCACTATCCCTATGTAAATGTGCTCATCCTTTCCACATAGCATATTGAAATCTTAAGAGAATATTAACGAATTCTTCCACTCTAGTGTCACATTTGAGCACTTGCAAACCTCAGTTTTATCCTGGTAGTCCCTCCTGTTAGTCCTAGATGTGATGTCTCTAGGCTCCAGCTGGGCATGCCCACCAACCTCATGCTATTTCCTATGTGTTGATTTGCTGAAGAGTGTATATCTTCCCATGTCACTTGCTCCTTCCTCTACAATGAAGAAATGACTCACCACTTATGGAGGACTGGACTGACCCAATCCAGACTCTTCATAAGCTGGCTGCACTTCACATTTCAAATCTGTCTTGCTACAGTCTACCTTCTCTGGTGTCCAGCACAATGACTAGTCACCTTCTGGACACACTTACAGTCTATCCATCTCACAGTCATGTCCATCCAAATGGTTTCTCTCCCCTTGAGCTCTCTTGCCTTCCTGTTGTGTAGTCAGTATTTGTGGGACAGGACAGAGTCTGTGCCAGCATGCACATGGCTGACAAACTTCTTTCCCAAAGGCAGTCCTTGGAAAGCAAGATCCATTGTTAATCAGTTTTTGTTTTTATTCTGCTCCACAGAATGGGCCACCGTCATCATACTTAACAAATGCATATAAAGTCAGTTATAAACAGCAGAGTGCAGTATAAGTGATAATCATTTTATTATTCTTTTAGCATAATGAATTTAATTTGCTTTTTGACATCTTGTCATTGCCTGGATGAAATGGTATCCTTTAACTGATGCAGTGACCTAAGACGGTATAGATAGACAGATCCTCTGAGGAGATGGTAGGGGGAACATATTTCTTGCCTTTGTGAGCATGTCCCCAAGGTCCAGTCTTGTCTACTGGTACTTACACTTTTTGGCCTCTATTCATTTCACATTAAAATCATAGACACTGTTGGAAAGTTCTCCATCAGGGAAGATCAAAGGAATGGACTGTAATAAGAAACAGCAAGCTCCAGGGGCTGGCCCTGAGTCCTCCGGTGCTGGCCTTACATGTCAGGCCAAACACCTCTTCACTGGTCCTTGAACAGTAGGCCTGCTATGAGTCTAACATGCCTGGTATTTCCTGATACAAGGATTATTTCCATCTCTAGGAATTCCACAAATGTGCCTAGAAGCTGTTTGGATATTTAACTTTTAAAAATAACCCTTCATAACACAATGTAGATAACCTAAAAACCCACGAGTCAGCTGTTTCCCAAGAAAATGCCTACAAATCCTGCTGTCACTTAGATAACACAGGGAAATGAACACACGAACACACACACACACACACACACACGCACAGCAAAAAAATGCCTTCAAGAAATGACCATATGGAAATTGGCTCAGCCATGTTAAATATCTCCTGCCTTTCTGACTTTCTGAGAGCATTGGGAAGTTTGCTTAACGCAGATGGGGGTGGGGGAGGAAGTGTTAAAAGGGAGAAGGGAGGAAAGGAAGGTAGGCAGGAAGGAACTAGAAAGGGAGAAGGGGGCAAGGAAGGGAGGGGGAGAGGAAAGGAGGGAGACAGAACAAAGGCAGGGAGAGCACTTATGGATAGGGACAGGGAGAAGACAGGGAGAGGGAAGAAAAAGAGAAGGAGAAAAAGGAAAGAGAAAAAACAAGGTCCTATAAATTGGTAACCATCATTTTAGCAAGAATGCTGAGATTTGATTCTTGGCACAAGAAAGTTAAAAATCTATGTCGCCATCACTCAACAGTGTCAAAATGAACAAGGAAATAGCCTCAAAGGGACTGGGGTGGTAAAAGAGGCTGTCTCTATTCCAGATGTTGTGGAATGTCAGCTGCCCCCTCTCCTGGAGCAATGGAAACATGCAGCACCTACCTACTATACTGACAGTGGCCGCTGCCTTTGCCGTGCTGAATTTCTCTCCATGCTTATTGGTAGCTATGCATGTGTAGAGTCCTGGCTTGGTGATAAAGAGCTGGAGTCTTGAGTCAATCACCCGGTCTTTCACACTCTCCTGGATGGACCCTGAGGAAACCTGATGGGGGTGGGAAAAACAAAAGGTAGAACTAGAGTACCCTTTTCTGATATACCGCATTGGTTGTCTTAAAGGATAAAGCATTTAAGTTATGATCAGCAGGCATTAGGAGAGAGCTGTAAACTCAGACACAAGTTCCCTGTCCCTGGCCTTTTGAGGTTTCAGATTCTCAAGCCAGGCCCAGATTCTCTTCCTCTTCCTGCTGCCTACCAATCCAAATGTAGAACTTTTGCCTCCTCCAGCATCATGTCTGCCTAAACTCCTCCGTACTTCCTACTATGATGGTAAAGCACTAAACCTCTGAACCAGTAAGCAAGCCCCAGTTAAATATTGTCCTTTAGAAGAGTCACTGTGGTAATGATGTCTCTTCACAGCAATAGAAACATTAGTACACTGGAGGATGAAATACATCAGTCTCCCAATAAAAGCTCCAAATCACCAAACATGAGGAAAGCTATTCTGAACTAACCAGGACCCACCCCAGCTGCTAGTCATAATAGTCAGACTAGCCTAGAGTTTGGCAATGCTGGCTCAAATCAGTATAACCATCCAGTTGAACTACAGATGTGTGACCACTAGCAGTTATTGTTTTAATCCACTTGACTTTGACCTGGTTTGTGAGATAGCAACAGATAACTAATATGAGCTCCAATGATACTCTTTATAGGTGCTCTAAGATTTATCCTGTTCTGCAGCTAGGAGAAGATAAGTTAAGAGGTTTTAGACTTCATAACATCTGACCACTTCTCTAAAAATGGACATCAGGTTGATAGATGTGTAGTATTAAAAGTTGTTTGTGGAGCCAAGACACTCATACAAACAATGCTGGACCCTTAATCCAGATGTCAAATGTCCTCAAAGAGCCAGAATATCAATATATTAGCATGCAATCAACAAGATTAACTATACAAATGCTTATTCACTAGTCATCCTTCCAACTATACAGTTAAGACTGCCCACATTTTCTTTTTAATTTAAATTACATTTAATTTATTTATTTTGCATAAGTGTGTGGGCACACTCATGCCATGGCATGGGTGAGAGGGTGGGAGTTAGCTCTCTCCACAATGTAGCTCTCAAGGATTGAACTCAGGTTACTGAACTCAAGAATTGAGCTGGCAGCTGGCAGGCACTTTCCCCTTCTGAACTATCATCTCACTGGCCCAAGACTGTCCACATTTTCTTTTCAGTTGAGAGTTAGAACTGTACCCCCTGTTGGTCTGACACCAAACCTAGGGTTTTTTAACCATTATTTTCCCTAGTCCTTGAAGAGAAGGCAAATGAATTGTCATCAAGCAAGTACAGTAGCATGGCTCTTGAATATTTTCAAAGCCTCATGCATGAAAGGGGTGATTGGCAGTCTTGGTAAGGTTGAGGAGTTACAGAAGCATTAGGAAGCTGTATCATCAAGCATGTGGCCTTGAATGGGATGTTGAACCCTGGACCTCCTTTCTTCTCTACTTCACAACTAAGGAGAGCAGCCTCATCCACACACTCCTACGGCCAGATACATTATTATGTTGAATTACATCCAAGAGAGGAGGCCAAGGGACTATAGCCCATGAGCCAAAATGAGTCTGTCTTCCTTGTGAGGTTCTTTTTCTCAGATATTTTTATCACAACAACAGAAAATGAACACTACAATCTTAACAAATCAACTAACAAATGCCATTGTAAAGATGGTGGCTTATTTTGAAATGGCAATTATTTTCTTCTGTTTTTGTAAGTACTATGACACATTTTCAATATTACTCATTAATCCCCATAATGTAGGTGAGAAAGAAATAATACAAGTCTGTAGGAAATTCAAGTGATTGAGCAAAATTAAAGAATTATTCAATGCTATTTTGGAGGATTGGATGTTGAGACCATATCAACATGAGCTTGGCTTCCTTGGAATAAATCCATTGGTATGAATGTGGCTAAGAGTGGGAAATTGAAGAGAGTTATCTAACTATTTCACATGCAAGTCTTCTCAGACAAATGAGAGAGAGGGAAACTCTGAGATGTGACAAACTTTCTAATATATCTGTCTTTGTCTTTGTCTCTGTCTCTGTCTCTCTCTCTCTCTCACTGTGTGTGTGTGTGTGTGTGTGTGTGTGTGTGTGTGTGTGTGTGTGTGTATGTGCAAGGGTAGGGTGCCACAGTGCATGTGTGGAGGTAGGAGAAAAACTTTGGATGTCTAGCCTTATTTTTATATTGTTTGAGGCAGAGTTTCATGCCTCCTGCATATGGCAGTTCCTGGAGACTATCTCTGCCTCCCACCTCTGAAGTACCAGCTCTGGGATTACAGATAAACACTTTCGCTTCCAACTTTTCTGGGCGTTCTGAGGATCCAAACTCATGTCTTCCTGTTTGTGCACTTTTCAGCTGCACCTCTTCCCCAGACTACGACCAACATTCTTCCTAACTGCCTAAGGGCTAGCTATCTCCGGCACTAGACACTTTCCATAGCAATTAGGCAATACAACTTTTTTCATTTATCTTCTTTGTCATGTTACCCTCTACTATCATTAGTAGTCTTAATTCCTGGGAAAACTTTCCAGGTCAGATCAAACATTATGGCACCCCCCACATAAGTAGCCTGGTCTCTATGGGAAACAGAGGAAGCAGAGAGAAATATCTTAAAAATCTTTAAGAGGGCATTGTGTCCATACTAGCAAGAGAGTACAACCAGCAAAGAGTTTGGTTTACTAGCATAACCTGAGTTTGGTTTCCAGAATTCACACACATGCACACATGCATATACAAAACTGATGTGTACTTGTAATTCCAGAGCTGGAGAAGCCTAGATAATTGACACTTTGAGGCTCACTCTCCTGCCCCTCCCCACATCAATAGGCATGCAGGAATTTCTGCTGAGTTTTTTGTTATATTTCTCAGAAGCCCAACATCTTATAGATACAAGTTTCCATGTTAGGTTTAAGCAGCTGCACATCTTTAAACTCAAAACTCTCCCTGATTTTACTCCAAAACACCAACAAGAAACAGACTGAGGTCTAAACTTCCATGGTCAGTCAGCGTGCTTGGTGTGCTTGCGTTTTGTATCTTATGCATGGGGATCATCTCTTTCCAGTTTATAGAAGTGAAGCGGTGGGGCTGTTGCTTCCCTTCTTTGCCAAGCCGGTTCCCTCCTTTGAGAAGAAAAGCTGTGGAGTGCAGCAACTTAAGAGCAGCCCCCCAATGTGGCCTAGCCTGCCCACTGTTTCCTGTTCACACCTAAGCATGCCATTCCTCAACACCTCCCCAGGGTCATGAGGTCACTGAAAACATGCCCCACAGAAAGGAGAAGAGCCCTGCAAGCTTCCTGACCTCTCCAGGGGGCTCCATCCAAGTGCTGAAATAGTTCAGTGTCCAGGCTGGGCCATCCAAGCTCCCCAGTCAAGGATGGTGTGGTTTCTAAGCCCTTTTCCTCCTGTGTTCAGAGGCCTCATTTCATTCCCTCAGTGACTCATGCGCAGCAGGCCTTGTTAGTCATAGTGCGAATTTGTTTTTCTTTCTTCATAGCTCACCCTGACTAACAGTTTAGTATTTTTGATGATCTAAAAATAAAAGCAACCCTCTGCCCTCTATTTGGATCACTTTGCCCCCTTGCTGGTTTTAGAAGATCAAAGGGATGAGTTTAGATTATTGCTGTGACCTTTTACCAAGGTATGCTTAAAGACAGTGGCCCTGCAAGTTTGTCTGTGGCCAGTATGGATTTGACTAATTTTGTATTGAAAATATTTTCAACTTATATTTATATCAAACACATATGAGATATTTTTAACCTGTCATTATTCCCTGAACAAAATACTGTAACAGTTGTTTCCATAGCATTTGTACCAAGAGATGATTTAAAGTATAGAGAAGAGTATGCAAATACTGCACCATTGGACTTAAGGGACTCGAGCATCCCAGGTTTTTGTTACCCATGGAGGGTCCTAGAATCAATATCCCAGGTTAAGCAAGTCGAAGGGACTTAACTCTGGTGATTATATCTGGCATTTACAGTGAGGATGTTTTTGCCAAGTCTCTCAGAGTCACTTAACTAAAGAAGCCAGAATAAGTTCTCTTCTCTGGCTAGAACATATTTCCTTTCTGACAGTGATGACTTTTGTAAGGAGGCAGATGGATCTGTTAATCTTCTTAACTTCAGTAATTACTTCACTGAGTATATTGCATACAAAATACCACTCTTATACCTTAAATATATTACAAAAAATAATAAATATTTAGGGGCTACAGTGGTTAAAGTATATACTGTTCTTGCAGAGGACCCGAGTTTGGATCTCAGCACCCACATCACAATGGGCAGCTGCTTGTAACTCCAGCTCCAGAGAATCTGACGCTGAACTCCTGGGCACTTGCGCTCATACATACACAAACCCACAAGTACACACACACACACACACACACACACACACACACACACACACATTCACATAATTAAAACTAAAGTAAGTCTTAGAAGCAGAAAAATAGAAATTTCTATCAGACATAACAACACCTGAGATAATGTATAATGCACAATGTCTGTGTGTGTCACTAATTCATTCACTGTGTCATCTTAAGATACTCTATCTACAGCCACAAATAGTCTGGTACCATCATGACTTCACCTGAACACAGAAAAACCTTGAAAAGTGTTCTGGCTTCAGTGGCCCCACATTTCAATACTTCCACCTAGCTGGGAACACATCATGTAGCAAGGTATGTGCTAATAATGTAGCAAGGTATGTGCTAATAAGGTCTGTTGTCCTGATGTTGCTATAATGGATATTGTTTGTTGTGATTCACAAAAAAGAAAACAGATACTGAGCTGAGAGGCATTTCCATGTTTTATTATCATAGACATAAATATTGTCCTCTTTCAAGCTAGCCATTGAATATTTCCACATAAGACTTACCATATGTAATTATTTTGTTTTACCAGCTAATAATATAAAACGACTCCAAAGTTCACATGCTTGAAACTAAAATCATGCCTTATTAAAAATATAGGTACAACATGGTTATCTACAAGAATATCAAAAAGCATGATCTTCAAAATATATGTACTTCCTATTTATTTTACGAAATTCTTTTAACAAAATGTTGTCAACATTTACAAAGTATTAGGAATTATATGTATTGGACAAAGCAAGAGAGGAGGACAGTTTTTCTAAAATTTAGTTAAATGTCTATATAACAGTTATTATTAGGATAACTTTCAATGAATATGGTTCTATAATATTCAAAAACTTTCTTTTTAAAATAGTAAGCTTCCAGGCATGGTGGCACATGCTTTTTTACCCTAATACTTGGTCAACAGAGGCAGGCAGATACCTGTGATTTCTGGGACAGCCAGGTCAACATAGTGAGCTCCAGGACAGCCAGTGCTCAAAAAATAAGAGAAAATATTTTTTAAAACAGTAAACTCTCCTCTATCCCCATCAAATTACTATATTCAATATTGTAATAGAAAATAAATAATACTTATCATGCCCAAGTTTATTTGACTACAGATTTTCATGGAAAAAAAAGTAACATTTCCATGGGAAGAAAGGAGATGTGTCTTTATCAAGTTGGAGAACATTGTTGGACTTTCTTCTACTCTTTTTCTCTGACTGTCCAATGTTTTTGTTTGTGTGGAAGATGGGGAACAGTCTCTCCTTTTTGTAGTGTTGTAGGCTTGTTACCATGTTACTTTACCAGGTTAAAGTAACAAACCATCCTGCATCACACACACCTTCTGTGCAACACCCTTAGCTAATACTCTGATGCTTCCTTACTCTGCTGGGTGATTCTAAATCTAGTCCAGTTGACTCTATTATCTATCACAGAGAGGAATCTGTTGACTGGAAGTTTGAATAGAGAGAATAGTAGAGGAGAGAGAAACTGTCTTCCAAGGTATTGCAGAGAAAACGCCTCAGAATTTGAGCAATTTGCATTGTACCCTCTTCAGACTCTGCACCATAGAAAAGTATTCAAGCTTGCCAGGTGATTGAGTAAGGCTGGCCTAACATTGACCTTGGAACAGGTCAATGATAGCTCACTGAAAGAACAGGCTGCTCCCGGTTTAGAAAATAGATATAATAAACCAGAACAGAAAATAGAGCAAGATGAAACAGCACAGTGAGACAAAAACAAAAAGTGATGCTGTAGGGAGTGAAGGGGTGGTACAACACAAGGGATCAGCCATTTACTGTGAGAATGCCAGCTTCTCCAATAGTTGATACAATTGACGGAGAATTATATTGATTGAAATTACATCTATGCCCAAACAGTGAAAATATGTTGCTTTACTTCATAAACTGTGCTAGTTAGGTTTGTCTTTTGTTTAGCAATTTGATAAGAGCTAGAGTCATCTGGAGAGACGGAACCTCAAGGCTCTAACATCACTGGCCTATATAGTCAAGTCTGTGTGTGTGTGTGGGGGGGTGTATTTTCTTGATGAATGGTTAATATGTAACCATCCCTAGGCAGGTGGTACAGGGGTGTATAAGAAAGCAGACTGAGCAAGCCATAAAGAGTAAGCCAGTAAGCAGCACCCCTTAGTTGTCTTTGCTTCAGTTCCTGCCTCCATGTTTCTGCTTGAGTCCCTGCCTTGACTTTCTTTGATGGACTCTAAGCTGTCAGCTTAAATAAAACCTTTCTTCCTCAAGTTGCTTTTGGTCACTGTTTTTTTTTTTTTTTTTTTTTTTTTTTTTGTTTTGTTTTGTGTTTTGTTTTGTTTTGTTTTGTTTTGTTTTGTTTTTTATCACAGCAACAGAAAACAAACTAAAGTAAAGTAAAAAGTATTTTCACATCAAACACAAATATACAACAGGCAACTTTGTGGAATATTCCTTTACACTGTATGAAGATGTGTTGCTGTGACTGGTTTAATAAAGAGCTGAATGGCCAATAGCTAGGCAGGAAGAGGTATAGGCAGGTCTTGAGAGCAGAGAAATAACTCTGGGAAGAAGGCGCAGTTGCCAGCGAGCTGTGGAGGGAACAGACAAGCTGGAGGACTGGTAAAACCCACAAGCCACATGGAAACACATAGATGAATAGAAACGGGTTAATTTAGGTTATAAGAGCTAGTGGAGAAAGCCTAAGCTAAGACCAAGCTTTCATAATTAATAATAAGTCTCATGTCATGATTTATGACCTGGTAGCCCAGAAGAACAGTCTGACTGCAAAGCAGTGTTTAAAAACATGACAGTAATAGTCCTGATTAATTTCCTTTTCTAGATACCAATAAACTAGCTGTTATAGATGATGAACCTTCATATTGAAAAGAAATTTAAATTCTAGAAAGAAATTTAACATATACAAAAATATCTTCCTCCGAGATACTTCCCAACCTCAGAAAGTTTGAATTTTATTTTGCCTTTAAGAAGTGAGAAGAGAAATTAAAATGCAGCAATCATAAAGTATGGAGAATAATTACGTACAATAAAGAAAGATCTCAGAACATTAAGTATCAGGATCGTGTCAGTGTGAGCTGTAAGTGAAATGGTCCACCTGAAGTATTACATCTAAGCTATAGTCACCAGGTATATCCAAGCAGGTTCAAACATTAAGTGGTCCAAGATTGAAGGTAACCCTTAGATCCTGACAGAATTAAGCAAAAATTATTTACCAAGGAACGTACCACCCTCCAGCCCTCAAAGTAGAACATCTTTCCAATACAGCGAGTGGTGGTTAATCAAAAGTAACTAGACACACAAGGGAGCACTGCACAACCAAGAAGATAAGTCAATAGACAATAGGAACAGACTTGCAACCTAGTCTCTCTCCAGACAAAGCGAAGCACAAGTCACTTCAGGGACTTCTGCAGGCCTTTCTGACTCACAATGGCCACTGCACCTCTTATCTATACATTCACTCATCTATAGCCACACTGACCTCTTTGAGACTCCTCCAACAGACATGTCTACACCCTCGTCTCAGAGACTTTGTCCACTAATCTTCCAGCAGCTCTCCATATAGCCTCCCCTGTCTTCATATCCAGACCTCTGCCCAGTTGTCTTTGTCTCATTTAGATGCAACCACACTATCGGAACTGGAATCTTTCTCCTAACATCCAGCTTTCTGCTTCATTTCCAGTTTTCTGTTTATCTTTTTTTTTTTCCATAGCTGACCAATCCACATAAATATACATTTTCTCTCTGATTTTATTCTCTGTTCTTTCCCACCAGAATGGAAGCTATTTGATACCATGGATGGTCTCCCATTTTGCTTGCTCTTATTTCCACGGGGCCTTAGAATAGTACTTGATGCTCAGCATCAAGTGAATTGAGCGCTTGTAAGTAAAGTGCTTAGAAGAGGGCCTGGCTCAAAATAATCATTTATCACATTAGTTATTATTATCACTATTACAAATGAAGAAAATGTATTGAACTGGTATAGATGCATTTTAATTCTGGATTGTTTTCCATTAAACTGATCTCCACCAGTCTTTTCATGGTACATTCTATGAAAATTATTTCAGTTGTGGGAAGAACTTGTAAACCTTTCTCTTGTACACACAAGTATTATACTTTTTGCATGATACAGGGACAGACATAAACTCCCAGGGTTCAAGACCAGTGGTTCCTGAGACTAAAGATGACTTTAAACACTCATACAAGTAGGGCCAGTGGCATAGATGGGAATGGTAACATTACATTGCAGTTACTTTTCTATTGCTGTGATAAAAAATACTATGACAAAGTCAAATTATAAAGGATAACATTTAACTTGGGGCTTATGGTTTCAGTGGGGTAAAGTCCGTGATGGTGGAGCAAAGGTATGATGGTAGCAATAGCTGGAAAATGACATCTTTTTTCCCCCCACAAGTTAGAGACAAAGAAAGTGACAGAGGGAATAGCTTTTTGAAACATCAAACCCTCCCTCAGTGACACATTCCCTCAAAAAGCCAAGCTTCCTAATCCTTCTCAAACAGTCCCACCAAACACAGGGGAGCCATTTTCATTCAAATTACCACACACTATAGGTACATGCTGTGTTCAGAAATTCATCACCAGTGGGTCGCCTCCCCCCCTCCCCCAATGATCCCAAGCACAAGGCACTCACAGCATTTCCGTTTTCAATCCAGCTGATGGTGGGGACAGGAATGCCTATTGCTGTGCAGCGTAGGGTTACAAAGGAACCAAAGGTGACATTGTGGGACTCAGGAGCACGCAGGATTCTTGCAAAAACTGTTAGGAAGACAAAGGGCATGAGTGACGTTCTTTATGAAATAGCTAAGCAAGATTGGACTTTGAAAACTGCAGTCATGTTGTGTGCTCCTGGGTGCAATCAATCCTTCTGCGTTGCTATGCTTCCTCTCCATGCTCTTTGGTCTATGATCTTTCATTTCTCACCATCCCAGGCCACACTGAGCTTATTTCTGACACAGAAGCTTGTCTTTGCTGTTTCTCAGTCTAGAACATTCATGCTCATGTCTTCATGTGATGGGTTCCTTCTATGTGTAACTCAGGTCTCGTGTTAAATGGCATTTTCATAGACTGTAATTATCCAACACATAGTAAAACTCCCACTCAACTTTGTCATTCTATTTTATGACATTACACACTGCTATCTGCTATTCCCTTAGTTCCTATTTATCTATTCTTCGGCTCCCACATGAGATTGTCTCAGCCTATTTTGTTCATTCCTGGATTAAGTGCCCAGAAACATTCAGGATCAAAATGAGGACAGGACACTATTTTAGTGAATTAAAGAAATGATTAATGTTTTATACTTTCAACTTATCATAGTAGGGAGAACAAATTCAAATATATCATACATTTCAGAGAATGCAATGATATACTGGGAAAAAGGAAAGGAATATTTTAAATTAATGTGAGGAGGAAAATGAGTCATTTGCATTCCTTAACTCTACAGATCTTCACCAATGAAAAAAATCAGTCATTCAGAGTTAACAGTTTTACCTTGAATTAAAGAGAGGTGGGAATTCAGAATGAATTGGAGAGCACTATTTTCAAGATCGACTAGATTTCTACTCTTCTTTATAAACTGAATTCCCATTAATTCAATTTTCTTCCCCAGAGTAATAACAGTGATGGTAATAAGCTTGGTCTCTAGTCTTCTGGTGTTAAATCAATGTTCTTTTAAGCTATTATGAAATCTTTTTGTTTTCATATTATATTGTCAGCAAATTTTATGCTCTCTTCTGTTATTTTCTAGGGCATAAGCCTAGAGCATGACAGGAATTCTAAATCCCAATTAGAACAACACTTTGAAACTTAGTTCTCCTAGTTCACTGAAATTCATGGAGTTTGAGGCAAGAAATAAACAGAATAATCATAGCAAGGCTTGAGCTTGTCAGGAATATTTCTGATTTTTAATAAATTCTTTATAAGGTTACATAATTCAAGGTATAAAAATGTAATCTTTCTTGACAACTGGGTCTTTGGTGAAAATTAAATTAACTTGACTTCCTATCTTCATATTGAGAACATGCATTATTCATAACATCATTTGGGCTCATTGCAAAACTCTAATGGTCCATTTTAAATATGTAAATGTTGTACCCAAAAGCCAGGAGAACAGAAAAGTAATAAAAGTGTCATGTTAACCACAACAATGATTAATAAATATTTTTTTTAAAGTTTATTGAATATTTAACATGCTTTTTAAAACCAAAATTGAGGGCTAGATGTGTAGTTCACTTGGTAGAGGGATTGCCTAGGCTATACAAAGCCCTGGGTTCAGTCTTCAGAACCATAAAAACCAGATGTTGTAGTAGCCCATGTCTGTAATCCCAGCACTGGGAAGGTGGAGGCAGGAAGATTTGGAGTTCAAAGTCATCCTCAGCTACATGGGAGTTTGAGACCTTCCTGAACTACATGAGATGATGTCTTAAAAAATAATGACAGCAACAGTAATATCCTGGCTTTAGAAAATCCTGGGGTCTAATTAAATATGCAACAAAAAATCAGAGTTCAGGAACACAGTAAACAATGCCCTGGAGACAATGTTTGTCAAACCCAGAATACAGGAAACTTAAAATGGTAAATTATTTAGTTGCTTCAACCAATAAATAGCAGGAGGGAAGAAATCTGTTCCAGGCTGAAGGAGGCTTAAGGGCTATATGATCCAAGTGATCTTCTTGGATTCTTGTTTTCCCAACTTAATCTGAGTTCACTGGCTGTGTGCTTTTGATGGCCAGACCCAGGCTGACATGCATCTTAGCAGGAGTCATCCACGTACCCTTCTTGTTTTCTGGTAATAGTAATGAGACCTAGAACATGCCACACAGCTGATCCCATTTGTAGCGCCTGCCTGGAATAGTGCAGGAAGGGATTGGCGCTGCCGTTCTTGAGTTGAGTCACACGTACCCTTCTTGTTTTCTGGTAATAGTAATGAGACCTAGAACATGCCACACAGCTGATCCCATTTGTAGCGCCTGCCTGGAATAGTGCAGGAAGGGATTGGCGCTGCCGTTCTTGAGTTGAGTCACTGTAACTAGTACCACACGGGGCCTACTACGTCTGAGCATTGGAGAGATGCTTGAGAGACTTGGACTTGGATCATTTTAGTATCACTCATATAAGAAAAGTATTCTAATGACTTGATTGTGCCCTTGGATTTGAAATGAGTGCCTTTTGGATGAAGATTAGGACAATAAAAATGGAAAAATAGGAAATCTAGATTATCTCTCCTGTTTTGATTTATAGAATTCTTCTTGGAAGAATGACCAGGGTTGGGTTTATTGTGTTCTGACTTACAGCTTTTCCTTTTCTTCTGGCTGTTATTGCACTGTGTGGATTGTCATTTAGGCTTATTGCAAAACCCTTGTTGATCTATTGTGCACAACACAGCTAAGCAGAAAGTGAGGTAGTGACTAAGTGAGCCAGCTCTTCTTGCACAGTTCATCATGACACTGAACATAATTGATTCCCTATATCGTCATCCAGGACTTTCTAGGGGCTCCATTCGGTGGCACATGATGGGTACTATTGGCCACGCAAGTAGCTCCATGAATATAAAATTGCTAATAAGTAGTTGTTCTCTCCAAAGCGGGCTTCATCATTAAGTGCAGAGTGCTAAGAGAAGATAATGAGTGGAGATTACAGCAAAACTGGTCCATTACACACTCCTAGGTTCTCCCCAAGAGGTAAGACTCAGCCTCCTTTTGCAGTATTGACAGACATCTTCAACTCCTCCTTTCACTTTTCCTCTACTCCCAAAGGAGGCTCTAAATGCCATTCATGTTTGTTGGTTCACATTGAGATGTCTAGTTATCATAGTACTCTTCATTCCCTCTCACTCTATGTTTCATCAAAATACTTGACATCACTTAACAGCTATGGGTTCTTTTATTTATTTGTATGTTGACTGTCCCTCTCCCTGAGACAGAAACATAGTAAGTTCTGGCTTTGCTTTGTTCATTACTGCAGGCTGACTATGTATTTGCTTGTCTGCGTCTATCTCCAGATGTACCCTGGTACAGGCTAAATACTCAATAAGTATTTATTGAGTGAGTGAGTGAGCAAGTAACTTTTCTGGTGAGATCAGGCAAATGAAGTTATCGGTAATATGTTTGTCTTAGCCCTGCTGGACCACCATTCTCTTGGCTACCCTACCTATAAGAGGGGAAAGAGTTCAAAGTTCACCAGGTCAGGATTTCTCTACCTAAACATTAAAATGTGAAATGTGAAATGTAGGAAAGGTAAGAATGAAAAATGGAATTTATGTTAGTCTCCTTGTTAGTTGGACTAGAAAGCTTTGGTTTTCAATACACTTTACCAGCAATGAAGCTCATGTACTTTTACCCATCTGTATTTGTTTTCAGTTCTAAATGTGAAAGGTGAAGATGGGCTGAGAAAAATTCCAACCATTTAACTACCATCAACAACAATCCCAGCAGCTGCAATCAACAATAAAAGTCAGACTAACTCCATCCTCTGCAGTAATGAACTTGGACATAGTTCCATAGTAAATCCTATTGTATTAGTGGGTAGCCACAAATTGAAATACCTCCTAGGTCATCAGTCCAAAGCACAGTGAGATCTGTTTCTTAGGCAATAAAATGAACATCAAAGTCTTCATTTTGTAATTTATGTTCATATAAGAAAAGAGATACTTAAACAGAGGGAGCCAGTATAGGTTTAAAGAGAAATCTGGCACTAGGGACATATTCAGAGATCCACAAAGTTGACTGCAACTAAGAATCTAGGCAGTAGTGGAGAGCCCACCTTTGATGCCCTTCCCCTATAATGAGATTGATGACTACCTTAATTGCCATCCTAGAGCCTTCATCCAGTAGCTGATGGAAGCAGAAGCAGACAACCACAGCTAAACACTGAACCATACGCCTGGAATCCAGTTGTTGAGAGGGAGGGGGATGAGCAAAACAGTCAAGACTGTGCTGGAGAAACCCACAGAAGCAGCTGACCTGACCTAGTGAGAGCACATGGACCCCAGTCGTAAAGCCAGGGAACCAGCATTGGACTGAAACAGGCCCTCTGACTATAGGTGCCAGTTAGGAGGCCTGGGCAGTCCATGAGACCTCTGACAGTGGAACCAGTATTTATCTGTAGTGCACAAATGGACTTTGGGAGTGCATTCCCTATGAAGGGATACTTTTTCAAGCCAGATACACGGAGGGCCTAGGCCCTCCCCCAAATAATGTGACAGACTTTGATGATCCTCCATGGAAGGCCTCACTACTCTAGGGGAGTGGGGGTGGGTGGGTTGGGGGACTCAGTGGGGGGTATCCAAGGATGCCAGGGAGAGAGAAGAGGGTTTGATATGTAAAATAAGACTGCTTCTAAATAGAAAAAGAAAATGTTTTCTTATATAAACAAGTAAACTGCAGAAGAGGAGTTTGAAATTATTTAATAATTTGAGGAACTATAACTATTCTGATGTTATTCCACTCCTCTTGCTATAGATGGTCTATTTGTCACTGTTGGACTCCCTATTCTCTCTATCTCATTCATATTCCTATGGCCAAGTATGGTATTATTCGCCAGCACCATGAAAAACAAACATAAGCAGTGTTTGACCTCTGGGTTTTTTCTTAGGGGATCTCCTCACACATTTTGGGCTTTATGTCTCTTGGGCAAATTTGCAGATCTACTGAAGGTTGGGAATCAAACATTAAAATTGTACTTAAGCAGCCATCAATTTCAAGGTTGTGTATAACAAACACAGCTGTACTCTTTCTGTCCCTACCCTGGCCACCTCC